GACACGCACACTCGGTCACTCCCCACACAGGTGGTGTGACTCATCCAGTGTCACATGGTGACACACAAGCCCGTGTTACACAAGGGAGCAACAGTTACACAGAACAGATACTAAGTAACAGCCTGAGACAGACAGATACAATGTAGCCATTTGGCTGGGCATAGCCCCTCCCTCTTGGGTAGACCGATAGCTGAGTACCCCAGTGGGACACCAGCAAGCCCCTCCCCTCTGTAAAAAGATGGCATTGGATTCATTGATCTCTAAGGTCACTCTCGGCTCTGACATTCTATGTTCTATGTTGTACATTCTAAGCTCCCAGCTCTAACATTCTATGTTCTAAGGCATTCTAAAGAAGTTCCCTCCCACTTATGTCTAAGACTGACATTCTTTGCTTTACTCTCAAAGTTCTCACCCAGCTGTGACAGTCTACATACTTTTTTTAAAAAAGTATAACTTTTGTTTTTATACCACCTTGATTTCCAAATATATACCTCCCTCTCCCTTACCTATCAAGCTGTCCCTTATATAACAAAGAATAAAGAGGGAAGGGGGGGGGAACAATTCAGCAAAACCAACCAGCATATCAACCCCATCTGACAGTGTATGTAATATTCTGCACCTGTAGTCTCCCACCTCTGCAAAAAGGGAAGGAGGAGCATTTTTTTCACATAGTCCACATCCTAAGACTCTGCCATTCCATATTCTCTGTTCTAAGCTCCCCACCATTTCTGACATTCTGTGTCATACGTTCCACATTCTGCCATCTGGTTTATGAGTCTAATGGGTCCGATGCTGGCCCCAATCCTGCACAGTTCCTGCTGCATGCCCACCCACGTGGCTGAGCACGTCCTAGTCCACCTACACAGGAGGCACACCCAGCCCCTCTGGCTGTGAGCCTCATACATACAGGGTCCAAACTGCAAAACACAGATGAGAGCAAAATGCCCACTGCCCTCTGCAAAGAAGGGACCTGGCCAAGCCCAGGGGGAGGCAGAAGCTCAGAGCTGCTTCTGCCACGGCTAGAGCTGCACCTCCCATCTCCAATCCAGATTTCATATAATCAGTGGGTTCTAGTATATCCTAGGAAGGAGCAGGGGAAGGAAAGGGAAGATATCATGAAGCTCACATGAATCAGACCCAGGAGATCCCATCTAAATCCTGATTGGAACTTCCCTCTGTCCCTAAGGCAGCTCCCATGGCTTGGGTAGGGTGAGGACCACACCCCAGCACCCCACACCCCCACAGCCTCACTTGAACCACTCCAACCAGCTCCTCCGGCTCAGGGCGGAGTGCCTCCTCTACCAAGAACAGCCATTTCAGTGGGTGCCAACCTGGTAACCCTGGACACCCACATCCTCTGCCCTGCTGCTGCTCAAGTAGCCCCCTCCCCCTCTCAGCCCACCCCTGCATTTGGCCTCATGCTTTGACTTTCTAAACACCATGGGACCAATAATAAATGGGGCTCTCCTTCTGGAGGCCCCACCCTGGAACCAAGCCTCCCTTCCACCCCCAAAGCCTGCAATTGCTACTGCATACCCCAAAAGCCTTCTGTTCAGCTCCATGGTGAATCGCAAGGGCCCAGCACACCAAGCATCCTGCCTTCCAATTGCACAGCCACGTGTGTGCCTTTATCTCCCCCCCCATGCTCGTTTTGCTGCAAGCCCATGACCTCCATTCACCATGGCCTCTCTCTGAAATCTTGGAGTTCCAGGAACGGGGAAAAACAAATAGAGTGGGGGAGGAGAAGAAGAAGAAGAAGAAGACCACGTCCACGACCACGACCATGACCACGACCACAAAGTAGAACACTTTCAAGTGTACAAAATGCTTTCCTTACACACCAGGAGGTAGGTGAAGGAAGTATTATGCCCATTTCACAGGGGAGGTAAAGGTGAGGCTCAAAGAGTTACACTGACTTGAGTATAGGTCACAGCACTAGGACAACAACTCAGGTCTTCTGCCGCTAAGACAAGTGCTTCTTCCACTGCACTGCATTGTCCCATACAGAAACCCAGATGCTGCCATCCTCCCCCAACCAGATCCCCAATCCCTCCTTCTGTTCAGTATTCAATGTCCCAGTTTCCCTCCCTTCCTCCGTCCATGCTGTGTAACCTCTCTGGGACTCAGTTTTCTCATCTCTAAAATGAGACAGATTCAACCAACTGGCTTCAGAGATTACTTCCTAGACCTAGGGTTCGATTGGCCTTACCATCCCTGCCCCACCACTCCTCAATTTCCTAAAGCGCCATCACGTCAATCAACTCATCCGCAAGTATTTATGCCTATGAAGTGCCAGGCACTGAGGATCTAAGTATAAGGAATTCAACATCCCTACTTGCAGTCTCTCCACAGGGCATGGTGCAGAGCGTAGAGGGTTCCCTCAGAACTCCCACAGGCTCCCCCTAGTTCCACATGTGATCTGGGCTTATTTCCCCAGAGCTGTAGGGCCAAAAGGGAGAACATGGTGATGAGGTTGGAGGAATATCTAAGGATTTAAAAGATGAGAGGGGCCTGAACCTCATTTTACAGATGGGTAAACTGAGGCCCAAAGAGAAGCTGTGACTTGACCAAGGTCACAAGGTCCTAAATGGAAGAGCAGGTCTGCTCTGATTGGAATTCCAACCTCCTCTAATACCATCTGCACTTAATTTCAGGCCAGGGCTTCGTGCTGTATTCCTCAACTCCACCCCATTGGGGCATAGGAGAACAGGAAGGAAGCTTCCCTCTCCTGCTTGAGGGGAAGTGAGTGCCACACCCAATCCCAGGCCTCAGGGATCTCCCTTATGGAGATTCGAGGTATTTGGGGGGGGGAGGTACACGCAGGAAGCAAGGGGAAGGTGCAGCTGAAAGCGGGGAGTATGGCTTGCTTCCCTTTTGACCAATCAAGAGTTGGAAAAGATGCAGAAGGTGACTTCAGGCTAACTTAGCACCCACTCTCCAAGGAGAGAGTCTTCACCATCATCAGCAATCACAACCCAACTACGGGCAGTCAACACACTGCACCCCCAAAACTGAACCCAAGGGATCAACCCTAAGGGATCTCTCTCTCTCTCTCTCTCTCTCTCTCTCTCTCTCTCTCTCTCTCTCACACACACACACACACACACACACACACACACACCGCACAACCAGGGACCCAGCCCACACAGCCTGTCCTCTACCTCGGTCGTCCTCCAAGGATCTGGGCACACCCACCCTACCGTGCACCCAGGCCCAGGAACCTCGGAGCCCAGAACACTATTACCCAGAGGCTGACTCAACACTCTCTGGAGCACAGCCAACCCTGCTTGCCACCACCACCCCCAGCCACCTCTTACATACCCCTCACAGAGCCCAGGGCACAGCCAGAAACTCTGCACCCTCCCGCCTCCTCGGACTGCCTTCCTGCCTGCAATGGCCAGAATTCTCAACTGTGCGAGGGGTCCCGCCCAACTCCACAGGAGTTCTGCCTGGCCCTCGCCCGTGCGCAACCAGCACACAGCACCCCTCCCCGAGTGGGGAATCCTTACATAACACGCGGAGGGGCACACACCCTCCACACAGGGCTGCCTGCCAGCAGAACAGAGACCTCCCCTTTCTTTTCTCCCCTCTTCACTGTCCCCCAAAGTCGGAGCAGGCAGGCACCCAGGGAGGCGCCCGGAGGGGAAGTTCAGCCTCTCTCCTATCCCTCAGTCTCTCCTCTTGCCCCACCTCCACCACACAGCAGGGCTCCCTCCCCCCCGCTCCCCGTTTTTGCCCCCTCTTTTCTCCTCTCCTCTCCGAACTTCTGGTTTGAATTAGTCATTGGCTCCAACCACCGCATTCCTCAGGCTGCTGGCTGGGGGCCAGGGGTTTGGGGTGGGGGCGATCACCGCCCCGAAGGGTTTTTGGACGAGTGGGGGGGGGGGAATAGACGATGCAAGCCATCCCTTAAGGGTACGTTCCACACCACCACCATTGCAAACTGCCTGCTCCCTTTCCTAATGCTCTGGACAAGAATCTCACCCAATATCCCGTCCCCCCTCCCCCGACACACACACACACACACACACACGCGGACCTTGCAAACTTCCAGCTCCCGCTGGAGGGAACCGCGGGGAAATGGGAGCTTTCTGGCGTGGGGACCAGAAGGGGTAAGAGTAGGGTGGGGCAGCGGCTCTAGCAGGGAGGGAGGAAGGGAGGGAGAGAGAGCAGGGGGTATTCGTGGGGTGTGGTCGCCCCGGCTGGTGCAGCGAACGCCAGGGTTAGGGGATGGGGGGAGGACGCAGGGAGGGGCGCAGGGGAGGGAAGGCGCGGGGCGGGGGCACTGCCTCGGATACTCGTCTGCTGTAAACACTGGGATAGAGGAGGAACGACGGGCGGGGCTGCCGCCCCAGCAGCGCGAAGAGGTTGGGAGGGGGGCGCAAGGAAATGACTCCAGGACCAAATTGGGGTTTGAAGAGGTGGGAACCCCTGGGGCTGTGGAGCTGGGAGAAGTGGGCTCGGCAGGGAAGGAGGAAGGGAGGGAAAGGGAGGCGAGAGCCTAAGACACAACTTTCCCAAGTTTGCAGAACCCACGCCCAGATTGGAGAGACAGCAAGAACTGGGGGGGCGGGGGAGTGGTGCGCTCCAGGGCGAGGCAAGTTGTTAACTCCAGCTTGTTCCCGAACCTCTCAAACTGCACCCTAAACACTAGTCCATCCCGAACCCTTCTTCTGGACTCTCAAAAAAAGTCCTAAAAACCTTTCTTTTCCAAGCCGCCACCCTAACCGTATACCCAAATCATAAAGCTCACACAACCACAGACCATGGTATCCTCAAATTCTGAGGCATTATCTTTAAGGCTACCCACCCCAAAGTGCACCCTCAAACTCTCAGGAGCTAGATAGCCTCCAGGTCGCCCTGGACAGATGGTACCCCAAACTTTCCGGCGCTGGTCTCCAGGCCTCTCTGGACAGAGAGCACTCCCCAAATCTCAGGCGCTGCCCAAAGTGTCCTCCGCTGCCCCCGCTCCCCTAGGCTGCTGTCACCGGCCCCCCTACCTGTAAGCTCAGCCCCAGGTCACAGCCATGCCCGGCAGGCACAGGCTGGCGGCTGGAAGAGGTCTGAGAGGTGGGAGGCTGCCGGCCGGGCTAGGGGCGGCAGGGACTCCCGGATCGGGGCGGGTCCGGGCAGGCGGGCGGTGCAGTCCCCGCGGCGGAGCAGCTCCGAGTGGCCGAGCCCCAGCGCGCGGAGGCGGCTCTTGTAACTCCGGCTCCGGGCGGGCGGGCGGGTCTGCCCCTTCCGAGCCTCCGCGGTGGGAGCGAGAGGGCGGGGCCGGGCGGGGCCCGCAACGGGGCCGGGCTGAGCTTGTTGAGCTAGGGGCCTGGACAGGGGGAACGTGGGGGAGCGGGGCTGGGCCGGGGGAATGGGGGGGGGGTCAGCGAGGAACGGGGTGACCCAACGAGGGCTGCAAGGCGGGGGCGCCCGGCAGTGGGGGAACTGGGGCCACTGGAGGACGGGCTGGCACTGGGCACAAACGTGTTCTCCGTAGGGAAAAGACGTGGACCCTGACAAAAGTTGGAGGTTCTTTGGGGATCCCCAGCTCCGACTGGCACGGACCCCCTATTTGCCCCCTCCCTGGCCCAGGCTCCCTCCCTGTATGTACCCCACTGAATTTGTCTTGTGTGGGCCTTTGTTTCCAAGAAATTCCTAATGTGGCTCCCAATGTCTTCACATCTGGAACCGTGTTTATTAACAACTCTTCCTTACAGAAGAGGAAACTGAGTCCTACAAAAGTGCAGCAGAGCTTGACAAGTCGTGCAGTGATTTAGAGGCCAAGAGTCATCAAAGCAAACGGATTTAGAGCCACAAGGGACCTGAGAGGCCAACCCAACCAGCCCCATTTTATGGATCAGGAAACTGAGGCCCAGAATAGTGTTTTGTGACTTTGGCACAAGATCATCAGGTTATAAGTGACAGAGTTAGAGATTGGAAACCCGAGTCTTCTGACTCCAAGTTCAGCAGAAATCCAGTGCCCACCCTGACCTGTTTCCACTTACAATCCCAGCACCCTTCCATTCAGCTCAGCAACTATATGACAGGCCAAGAAGCCTCATCGTGGCCCCAACTCCCTCACACCACCCTCAACACACATTCCCCATAGGCCTTGGGTATATAGTGCCAACTAGATATAAGCCCTTTTCTCAAGTAGCTGCTACTTGGGGTGGGGTTAATCTTCAATTGAATTGTACCCCACCTTTCCTGGCTCCAAGGCTCCACTGGGGGCCCTCAATGTTCCTGAGTATTTCCCTGAATCTGGCCCCTCCTCTGATAGACGACTTCAGGACATCCCGGCTGCAGCCACTGGCCCCACCCCCAGAAGAAAGGAACACCGGCCCCACCTCTTCAAATACCCCATACCCCTCGAAGACACTCCTGGTAAGGCCAGGACCTCCAGTGGATCTGGGGGCAAGGCCCAGATTCCCTTCCTTCCCTCTGAGTCCTTCTCCATCCTCCTTTTCTCTTTCCCCCTTCCCTGGATCCTCCTCCCTTCAGAGGACGCAGAAGTTTCAAGTTTACAACTATTTCCCACAACCTCTGAGAGCAACATGAGAGTTTTATTAAACACTTAATGATGGCGTTTCAGAGTTCCCTGAAGCAGCACCCCTCCCTGAGCACACACCCCCTTTCCCTTCTCCCTCATTCATTCCTTGTCTTCTGCATCACCCACCCAGAAGCAGGCTCCTTTCTCGGAGTATGGGTTGGGCAGGTCGGTTCTTGAGGAGCCTTCCAACCCTGAGGGGCATGAGTCTGCAGAGATCAGAAGAGGCACCATCCCAGGCCAGGGTTCCCCATCTCTGTGGCCCTCCCGTCCTGATGGCTGTGAGTGGGTTGGGGTTAGGGGCAGGCTCAACCCCATCCCCTGAAATGACAAACATGTTTACAAGCTAAAAATACCCAGCAGCCAGCCATGCCGCCAGCCACAGTGGTTGTGTCCGAGGTCCAGTTACCGGCACACACTTGGGACGGGGCAGGGGGAGGGGGGGAAGGTAGGAGGAGGGAGGCAGGGAGGCGGGCAAGGGAACAGCCAGGAAAAGACAGACAGGAAAGGGAACACACACATACACACACACACACACACACACACACACACACACACACACACACACACACACACCCCAATCTACATCTGTGTCTCTGTTGGTTAAGACATGCACAGAAAATACCCAGATATACCCAGGTTCCAGCTCACAAGGCAGACACACACAGAAGTCTAGAGCCTAGCAGAGCAACAGAGGCCCACAAACGGATACAGCCCAGATTCCACCTGCATATGGAAGCAGCTAGGATTGGAGTCAGGAGAACCCAAGTTCAAATTTGACCTCAGACTCATTAGCTGAGTGACTTTGAACAAGTCATTTTCACCTCTGCCTCAGTTTCCTCCTCTGTAAAATAAGGATAATAACAGCACCTGTCTCAAAGGGTTGTTGTGAAGATAAAATGAGATAATTGTAAAGCTCTTAGAGCACCCTACCTGGAACAAAAAAAGCATTATCACAGTGTCAGCTCTTATTGAAGACCTTGTCTCCTCCCCCTGAGTTTCTGTTTTGCAGGTGGACCATGCTTTAAGGAAGTTGCCTGAAAATTTCGATTTACCCAAAAGATAAGCTCCACTCCTAGAAAGCAGGGCCCAGCCCTTCTGGTCCATTTTTTCTATTTCCTGCAGAACGTGGCGCATGGTAGAGCCTCAATCAGTCACTGCTGAACTGAATTGAAAGGAATGTACCCTGGTGAGCCCCCATCAAGGGATCACCATGTTCAGTTCTGAATGGCACATTTTGGGAAGAACATTGATGAGCTGGAATGAGTCCAGAGCAGGGTGACCCGGAAGGCAGAGGACCACACAAGGAGCAGTTAAAGGACCAGGGATGTGGAGAGCTGGAGAACAGTTGATTTGGGTGGTACAAGTTAGTTGTCTCCAAGGCTTCCCTAGGCTCGCTCATTCTGGAGGAGTTGAGCTCTGCTCTATCTCAGAAGGCAGAACCAGGAGCAAAAAATGATAAGTCACATTTCTCTATCTCGACAAGGTTTGCAAAGTACTTGGTGCCTTATCCATCCATCTCCAGGACAGGCTGCTTCCAGGGAGGCAAGTTGCAACCCAATCCTATTTATTAACTTTACAAAAGATTTTTTTTCCTTTGCAAAATGATGGAGGATTTAAAAGTGGAACAAACCCTGCAAATAGGATTTAAAAGTAAAGGGACATTCTCATTCCGTCCTTTGAAAAAAATCCTAGGAGAGAGGGGCAATTATTATCCCCATTTTATAGATGAGGAAACTGAGGCTCAAAGATATTAAGTGACTTGCCCAGCGTCAAACAGCCCATCAGGTGTCTGAAATAGGATTCAAACCCATGTTTCTTCCAACTCCAGTTCCTTATCCCTTGAACCTTGCTAGAGAGGGTACAGACTGGTTTGGTCTGGATGGAAAGAAAACCGCCTAAGAAGCACAGTCATGCCAGGGTGGCCCTTTGACCCCAGGAGGTCATGGGTGCCTCTCCTCCATGATCTTCCGGCAAAGTCAGGGAGACCATTTGTCAGTGGAGTGACAGAGTGGGGTCTAGATCAGATAAGGGTTGGAAAATATTAATCACTAATCGATCAATAAGCATTTATTAGGCATCAACTGCATGCCAGACACTGAGAATATAGAGCACCCCCCAAAAAAACCCCAAGGCCGTCGGGTCTCTGTCCTGCAGAAGCTTAGATTCCCTCGGAGCAGATAACATGCACACACACTCCAGCCCGTTCCAAATCCCTTCAAAATAAATACACGAAAACGCCAAATGCCTGGGAGAGGAGGAAGGCCCCAGAGGCTGAAAGGAGGATAAAAGGCTTCAGGGAGAAGTTAACACTTAAGCTGAATCTTGAGGGAAACCAGGGATTCCACGAGGCAGAGATAAGGAAGAAAGCATTCCAGGCATGAAGGCCCAGAGACCAAGGGGGAGTGGCCCGAGGGAGGAACAGCAAACAGGCCGGGCTGATTGGCAGAGATTCTTCGACCCCCACCCCCGACTCCATCTGGGAGATTCTGGAATCCCACAAATGATGGTTCGGGGTCAGGGGAGACGGGGCCGAAGGGCCAGAATCCTCTCTGTGTCGTTTTCTAGGGAGGGGCACTACCGCTGTCCCAGAGCCTCGATCTCCTCCTCTGTAAAATGAATGGGCTGGCACTAAATGGTCTCCAAAGTCCCTTCCACCTGCAAACCCTGTTTGAAGAGTTTTTTTGGTAAAGAGAAAAAAAGTCTTTTGTAAAGAGAACAAGTAGGATCACGGGAAGGAAAATGGCAAGATGGGGAAGTCAAGTCCCAAATCCTCTAGGGAATTTGGAGAAAGCAAATAACCCAAGCATTCTTTTAAACCAGCAGCTTGGGCAGAGCACCTGAGCCCGAGCTGAGTTGTGCATCAGTGGTCGGGAAGGCCTCTGCCCCGAGTAACCAGAGAAGACTGGGGATGCCATGGGGCAGAGGTGGGGAAGAGCTGGCTGACAAAAGGGGAAGGAAAAGATGGTGACCAATGTCAGGCTAGGTGCAGCCCCCCAGGGGGAGAGGGTCAGTCCAGATCCCGTTTATCTCCTTCTTTGTTTATTCTGGCCATTCTCTCCGTCAACAGGGATCTGGCCAAGAGAAGCCAGCTGGTAGAACTGAGCAGGGGTCATTCCCTATGTACTTCAACCTAGGGAGGCGAGATCATGGGATCTGAGGGGACCTTAGAAATCAGGAAATTCAGGGCTTCTTTTCAGCTCATCTGGGATTCTCCCTGACCCCTTTTGGGGGAGGGGGGGAGACGACACTGAGCTCCAGAGAAAGCAAGCATGGACTGTAAGTACCAAAGCCGAGAGTCAAACTCAGGTCTTCTGATTCCCATTCTGATTTCTGATTTCCCCCTGATAACCAACCCAGGATGGGATCTACCATTTCAGGGTGGGAGCAAGGCTAAGGTTGCTGAAGCCAGGAGTCCAGGGATCAAAGACGGACTGCTGCAAAGGACTTCAGAGGGTCTGTCTCATCCAATCCCCTTGTCTCCCAAAGGAGAAAACTGCAGCCCTGATCAGGCTGGAATTTCCCAAAGAACCAGAGAGACAAGGAGCAGAAGTGAGACCTGAACCCAGACCCTTGGAAAGGTGCCCATCAGACCCTTTCCCTACGTCGAGCTCCGCAGAGCTGCCTTCAGCCCCCAGCTCTGGACCCATATTTGCTGGGTGACCTCAGACTAGTGACATCCTGTCTCTGGCTGGAATCAGTTTCCTCATCTAGACCACGATGGGACTAGACTAGCTGGTCTGTCTCTAACGACCCTTCCAACCCTAAAGGTTACAATTCTAGGACTAAACCTAGGGATCCTCAGGATCCTGCAGGAGAGCTTCTTTCCTGAAGCTGCCAGGCACCCCCCCCCCAGCCAGTGTTGGGGGTGTTTTTAAGGATCCTGCTTTTTTTTGAACCAGACCAATGAGGTGGGCAGGGGGCTGGAGGTGGGGGGAGGAAGAGAAGAGGGACCTTCTAACGTCATTATATGAGTGATTTTTACGAGGGCTGCCCAGAGGGGAGGCTGGGGAGCCTCTAGGAAGGAGCAGGTGAGCTGAGAGCTTAGGATTCCTCCGCTCCTTGTTTGGATAGTCCAGAAAATGTCCCCCAAATTAGGGCTACCTCCCCCCTCCTCCAGCAGCTAAGAATGAACGGGAGTCCACTGAGGAGGGCTCACTTGGAAAGAAGGAACCCTGTTAAGTGACATTCCAGAAGTATTGGAAATCCACCCTGGTCCCAGTCCCTAAACACACACACACACACACACACACACACACACACACACATACACACATACACACAAATACACATACACATGCATACACACACAAAAATGCACACAAACACACATACACTATATATGCAATGCACACACATAAACACATATATACAAAAATACAAACACACATCCACACACATGCATACACATGCATACACACATGTGCATGCACATGCACACATGCACACACATACATACATGCACGCATACACACGCGCGCACACGCACACACACACCCCTGGGGACACAGAGCTGGAAGAGACCTCAGAGATCCAGCCCAGTCCTTGAGAGCAGGGACTGCCCTTGGCCGCTCTTTGTACCTGGTGCCTGGTTCAATGGCTGGCACGTACTCAGTGCTTAATAAATACTTCTTGACTGAATTGACTGATTTCTTTCTGATGAGCAGGTGTGGCTGTTCACCTTTAAGGACAGTCAGGACCTGCCTGTGTCTCTGTGTCTTGGCTAGCTGCATAACCTTAGGTAAAAGCATTTAACATCCCTGAGACTTGGTTTCCCCATCCATAAAATGGGAACGATAATACTCGCTCTACTTAATTTGCAGAGTTGTGGGGAAAACATTTTTGAAATCTGAAAGCATGATGAAAGCTGATTTCAATTATCAGCATCATAACTACTCCTCCACTATCGTCCTCTGACGCCTCCTGGTGAAACGGAGGGGATCCCGAGCTCCCAAAGCTGTGGCAGACCCAGCTGTGGATGTGTCTGTTGGCCAATTACCAGCCTCAGGAAGCTCAATCGGGGCTACATCACCTCTGGAGTTGTAGAGGGAGTGGGGGCCTGCTCCGTGAAGTCTGAATGTGTTGAAGGCATTATAATCACGATTAACCCTGCTCCCATTCCCACTTACATTCAGCCCACGGCCAGCAGACTCAGGCCTGAGAAGGATGCCCCACCCTCCAGGTCCCTCCTCTCTCCTAGATCTTTGAACCTTCCTAGCCTCCTCAAAGTCCCTCCCAGATCCTAGGCTCCAGAAGAACAGAAAAAATCACCTTTGTCAACAGGAACTTGACTTTGGAAGCTGATCTGAAAAAGAGCTAGAGGTTTGTCTAAGTGGACCACAGACTCAAGATGAGTGCTATAGCCGACCCCAAAAAGCTCATGTGATATCGGGCTGTATTAGGAGCACCACTGTAGGATGGCTACTGCGATGTGAATGGAAAGTACAGGAACCACAAAAAAATCAAAAAGGAGTGTTTCAAAGTTACCGAGAGCAAGCTTGCCACCCCCAAAAAAAAGATGTGCAAAAACCCTTCCACCACTCCTTGGAAGAGATTGGGGGGGGGGGCTGTCTCATGGGTATAGAACAGTAAATATATTGTCAGCTTTGTTTTCAATGTGCTCATCAGTTTTGCTGATTTTTTTTAATCCCCTTTTTATTTTTATTTATTTTGTTGTTTTTCTTTTTTTTTTCTTTTTTTTTTCTCTTCTGTTTTTAATTATTGTTATAAGTGATGATGGCCCTGGTGGTGGTGGTGGGGGGGGTATTGGAGCAAATTGAGGTGATGTAAAAATAAAAGACATGAATAAAAGTGTATTTCAAACAAAAGAAATGCGTGTGATACAAAAAAAGAGGCCCAGGGTCCAGGAATAGAGAGGTACTAGTCCCTCTGTCCTCCGTGCTGGCTGGACCACACCTGGAAGGAGTACTGGATTAGTTCCAAGGCACAACAGTTTAAGAAAGATGTTACTCCAGTGGAGAGTATCCAGAGGACAGAAACCAAGGTGCTGAAAGGCCTGGAGTCCAGATCATGTGAAGATGAATAAAAGGAACTGGGAAAGTCTAGCCTAAGGAAGAGGAGATCTCAGGTGGGATGTGAGTGAGAGCTGCATTCAAGGCCTTGAAAGGCTGCCAAGTGGAAGGAGGATTCCTTCCCATGAGAGCCTTCTAGAAGTGGAATGGGCTGCCTGGACAGCAGTGGGCTCCTCCTCCTCAGAACTTTCAAGTGGAGTCTGGAGGATCACTTGTCATCCACTTTGTATGTTGTCGGGATTCCTAAGTAGGAGTCAGACTAAATGTGTGATGGCGTTTCCTTCCAGCTCTCAAATTCAGGGGTTCTGGGCCTGGCTGGACCAAAACCTATCCGTCTCAGAGCCTGGATTCCAGAGAAAGTCCAAGAGATGCAGGAGTGTCTGAGGCTTTCAAAGTCCCTGGATTTAGGATAATAAAATCACAGATTTAGAGAAGGAAGGAGCCTTAGAAGCCATCTACTCCAATCTCACTCATTTACAGACGAAGAAAATGAGAAGGGGTTGAAGTGGCCTACCCGAGGTAGTCAAGTACGGGTTAGGATTTGAACTCAGTTCCAGGAACTTAAATTGGAGTCCCAGCTCTGCTACTTATTACCCATGTGGCCTTGGGCAAATCACCTCACCCCTGTGGCCCTCAGCTTCTTCCTCTATAAATTGGGGGGGTCCAAGGACAAGTTTGGGGCCCCTTCCAGATCTAAATCCTATGATGCTACAAATGTCGAGAACCACCTGCATGTAGTGCTTCAGAGGTCCTTCACTGAGGGAATTCTCCCCACCTCCAAACACTGGTCATGCAGGCTGAAAGGAAAACTAAAGTTTTGGACAGTCATTACTGGGATACCCTGACTTCCCTTGGCACACCCTTCCTCCTTCTGGGGGTTCCCTCACTAGGTGCATAAGTATATGTTTGATGAACCCTATTCTCTCTGGCTGCCAGGCAACCTCTACTGTTTGCCTCATGTTATGTTTTCCAGTTTCCATAGCAACCACGAAGGGGAAGAAAGAGGAGGCGAAGATTGCAGGCAGGCTCCTTTCCAGGGGATTCCCCTTCCCCACCCTCCATCCCAGCCCCACCATCCCCTTCCCCCAAGCCCTGAACAGCCATCACTGGGAGAAAAAGCAATGGTCAGCTTAAGGGGAGGCCCGCCTTCCCACCCCAGCCTCAACCCTGGCTCCCCACTGAGGCCATAGTTAGCAGGGCTTGGGGCCTCTTTAGGGGGTGGTGCCTACTCAGCCTGTGGGTGGATCAAAGACACTTCCTCCCAGTCCACCTCTGCAGATTCCCAGGTGTGCTTTGACCTAGTCCAGCCTGGTCCCTCCTCTAGCTTCCATCTCTGGCTGCTTCTACCCTCCTCTTTCATCTCATCAGGATCGCAGCTTTCAAAAGGGAAGGGAACTTGGCCTACAGGACCCCTCATGCCGTCAGAAAGGAAATTGGGATCCTGAAAAGGGAAGGTCTTTGTCCAAGGCCAGGTGGGTAATAAATAAGTAGCAGAGCTGGGACTCCAATTTAAGGTCCTGGACCCAAGTTCACATCCTAACCTGTACTTGACTACCTTGGGTAGGCCACTTCAACCCCCCATCATTTTCATTTTCTACATCTATAAATGAGATTGGAGTTGGTGGCTTCTAAGGCTGCTTCCTTGGTGCCCCTCACAGTCAGAATTTGCACCTTTGACTCTAAATCCTATTCTGGTCCCAACACATCTTGCTAAAAACTTTCCAGCTCAGTCAGTGGGACATTATTCCTACGGGAAGAGTTAGAAGGCCACAAAATCCTGGCTCAAACCAGAAACCCAGACCCCTAATCCTAACCCCCATTTCTGAAGCCCAACTACCCCACTTCCTACCAATTTCACCCTCCCGGCACGTGCCAAACCCCATACCCTAACCTCAACAACCAAGGAAACCCCCAAACCCCCACATTAAATGTCAAGGAAATTGTGTAACCCCAAATCATACTTAGACCCCAAAGAGCCCTTAAATCCAACCAGATAGAACTCAAAGTAACCTCAGTTGGGAAATAGAAGAAGAAAAGTCCTGATGCCTCAGTTTCCTCATCTATAAAGTAAGCTCTCAATCTATGATTCTGATGTTCAGGTCCGTGACACAGCAGAAAAGCTGGAGGGTTTGGGAACAATCGGGTCTCTGCTTGGGGAGAATGATTCCTTTCTATCGGGTCTGTACTTGGGGAGAACCATTCCTTTCTATCGGGTTTGTACTTGGGGAGAATGATTCCTTTCCGGGAGCTGGGACAGGGAGATACCACAGTGGTTAAGGGGGGGGGGGGTGCGGCTGGGATATCCTAATAGACAGGATCAACCAGGAAATGTGGAAAAAGAGGAAAGGCTGAACAGAAGGAAGGAGGGAAGGAGCGAGGCGCTGGGGACTGTTGGGGCTGGGCGGGCTGAGTTGTAAACAGCGAGAAGAGGGAGGAGGGAGCGGAATGAATCGAGGAGCCAACACCCCTAGCCAGCTCCCCTCCCTCCCTCCCCCCCCTCATCCCCACCCCCTGGCTGGGAGGGGCACAGAAGGGGAGGCAGATTCCTCTTTGGAACCTCTCTCCTCTAGCTGACTTCCGTGGCCTCCCTTTCTGCTTCCTAAAGGAAGAGAGAACCGGGATCTGAGAGGAGAGAAAGAAAAAGGGGGTGGGAGAGTGGAGAGGAGTGGGAAAAGAAGGGGTGGGGGAGGGGCCCAGGGATTCCCTCCCCGGCCTCTCTGTCTCTCTCCTCCAACCCAGGCTGGGGAGATCCGGTTGAGGAGGGCAGGGCCAGGCTGCCCAGGGTCTGAGTCACCACATAGCTGAGGTTCATGTCATCCAAGGCCCTCCCTGGCCCCACCCGTGCCCTATGCCCACCCCAGGACTCAGATTGCACCCCTGCCCCTACCTGGAGTGCTTGCCTTCACCACAGGGGCTTGAAGGGGGCTGGCCTTGCCCCCCCCCACTCCTCCCGACTGTGAGGCCCGACCCCTGCCTCCCCCCTACCAGCTCCCTCTTGCTTGGTATAGCAGTGAGCTGGGGCGGAGGTAGGGCAAAGATATGGAGGGGGCCCAGCTCTTCCCCTCACTGTGCCTCAGTTTCCCCATATGTAAAATGACAGGCATGGTCTGATTTCATAGATTCAGAGCTTCAGAGGACCTCAGAGGTCATTTAGTCCAACCCTCTCATTTTATAGGTGGGGAAACTGAGGCCCAGAAAATTTAAAGTGACTTGCCCAAACTCAGTAAGTACATGGCAGAGTGGGCTTCCGACCCCAATCGAGGGCTCTTTGCCAGGAATCCTGACTGCATGGCTGTTCAGGGCCATTCAGGCTCTGGCATCTTGTGAACCTCTATCTAAAGGATGGGGCGGTGGCCAGGGAATGGGTGGGATGGAAAGGTTTCCCCTACTGGTCCCGATCCCCAAGCGAAGGGGAAGTCACCGTGAGGGTGGGGTGAGGCAGGGCTCTGAAGTGGCCACAGGCTTCTGTCTCAATGACTCAGGACCCACATGGCTACAGGCAGGAGCCCTGGCAGGAAAGTGCCCCCTGCAGCCTGTGGAGTGAGTCAGGGGATGCACAGCCTCTCTGGGTACCCTACCCAACCACTGGCCTGCTAGACCCAGCTCTTCTCCTGACCCATCCTCGCCTACTTCCTCTGATGGGCTCTCTAAGTTCGTCCTCCCACTTTCCTGGCTCTGGCCGGGACATAATTGTTTCCTTTCTTCATCCCCTGAGCCCTCCTGAGCCCTCCTCCCTAGGTCCTGACCTGCCCCATCCAGAAGCCTTGGGCAGGTTCCCCAGTCAACCCCTTCTTTGGCCCTTGCCCATTCTCTACACCCCACCCCCCAGCTGGCACACCAGACCCATGATTGCAAAAGGGCTGAGGCAGCAGGAGAGGGCCTCACATGACAGCTGGTCTTGCTCCCAAAGTGAAGGGGGGGAGCTGGGAGGCACATTCCAACAAAGGGGGAACAAGACCAGAAATAGGCACCCCCTGTCTCAGATTGGCAACCCAGCCCCAGCCCCAGCTCCAAACAAGCCTGCTGGGGCAGCCCCCTTCTGAAACCTAGGCGATCCGTAGAAAAAAGAGACTGAGAGGAATGACGAGAGCCTTGGAATGCCTAGGCGGCCTAGGGGGTGCCAACAAGGGCATTTCTTCCTTCACCCCAGTTCTCCCCCACCCTGCCTCCCCTGGCCCCCCACTCCACACGGGTAACCCAGGAACGGAGGCTGTGCCAGGCCTGGCACTGTGTCCCTGGGACGCCCCAGTGGTTCCGAGCTGCATTCTAAAAGTCCTGCCAGCTGAGCAGGGCAGATGGGCTTAAAACAGGTGGCACGGCCCCCCTCCCTCTCTTCCCCCAAGTCCCAAGCTTTCAGCTTCAGGAGAAAGAGAATGAGGAAGGGGCTGGGGCAAAGCTGCAGGCAGGGGTTCATCAACTCAAATCCAGAAGGAATCGTGAAGATCGCTAAGGCTGACCCCCTTTGTTTTACAGCCTGGGAAACTGAGATTTGAAACCCCTGGTCCAGGCTAGTTAGTACGTGCGGGAGAGATTGCAATAAAAGCCAAGTCCTCCTCCTCCTCCCCCTCCAGACCTTGAGCTCTGCCTGAAATAAAGGTTTTATTGATATTTTTTTCTTACGTTATTGTCTCTCCTCACTGACCCTTACCCCCTTACAACTCTCCCTTGTAACAAGCATTAGTGCGACAAAGCAAACTGGCACATTGATTCAGTGCGCAGCATGGTACCTCGCAATTAATACATGCTGGAGGGATGGCATGATTTCTAACAATGTCTGTGCCTTTCTGCCCCTGTAGTCGACCACCTTCTCTGCTAAAAGGAAGCAGGAAGGTGCCACATCGACCCTCTGAGGTCACTATTGGTCAGAGTTCGGATATCAGTATTATTGTACATTATCAATGTATATCATAAATATACATATAAATATAAATATTATTGTTCAGCCGTCTCAGTCATGTCCAAGGCTTCATGGCCCCATCTGGGGTTTTCTTGGCAAAGACACTAGAGTGGTTTGCCGTTTCCTTCTCAGCTCATTACTGAGGTAAATGGAGTTAGGTGACTTGTCCGGGGTCACACAGCTAGGAAGTGTCTGAGGCCAGATTTGAACTCTGGAATAGAGATTTAAATTGACGGGGTGTGGGTGTGTGGGGGTGGGTGTTTTTTTCCAAGGAAATAGCAGATTTTCATGTTGACACTGACTTCAATCTAAAGGTCTAGACCTTGCTGTAACTTTGAGGTTGGCTCTGCATGAAGCCAAGTACCTGAATCAAAATGTCTCTCCTGCTATTGGACGCTTCGCGCACACTGCTATCTTGGCTCTCTGGCATTCATTCTGTACTTCCTTGTAACATAGCAGGTTATCTCCACCTGCTAGACTGGGCGTTTCTGGAGGGCAGGGATGTTCCAGTTTGGCTTTGTACCCCTAGCTCTGAGTGGTGCTCCTGGCCCTGAGAAAGTCCCTAACAGACGCTCCTTGGTGGGTGGGTTCTGCTGCTTCTCTCAGCATCCAGGCCCCCAAACACTGGGAGGAGGGAAGGTGCTCCCAAGGAAGGAAGGGGAAGATTCACCCACCCTGTACCCAATGTACACCCTAAGCCAGGGAAGTACGCCCCCACACACAAACAACAGTCCTGGCCACCCGCTGTATTAACTACAGACTTGACTGGGTGGGGCCAGAGAACCCTCCCCTCAACACCCTGGGCCCTTCTCCACCACCACCACACCCCACCCCTCCAGAACAGGAAGTGGCACATTTGGGGCATGTGGGCAGCTGGTAGGATGGGCCCTGCCTCAGTTCAGGAACATCAGCTGTCTGGCTCCAGCCTAGAGGAACAAGGCTGAGAGGGAGGGAGGAAGATTGTTACATTTTGTTTGGATAAAGGCCCTGAAACAAACCTTCAGTAAAAACACCAGCCCCTGCCTCCCAAAATAACCCCTGACTGGGGTTTCCAAGGAAAACAAAGAGGGCTTTCAGGACCTCCCGGCCTGGTTTGCTCACGGACCCTTTTTCATCCACCGGGTATGATTCGAAGGATTTCTGGCTAGAGCCAGGCTCTGCAGGCTTGCCCCCGGCACACCTGTTTCATTCTCTAGGGTCAGATGTGGGAATTTTCACAGGACCACAGATGTAGGGCTGGAGGGGACCTCAGAAGCTACTTATGCTCTCATTTTACAGATGAGAAAATTGAGGCTGGGCCTTAAGTGGCTTTCCCTAATTCTCTTGGGCAGAAAGAGTCAGAACCCAGGGTAGAGCCCAGAGACAGGCTTCTCACAGACTTTAAAACTGGAAGGAACCAAGGCCATTCACCGAAAGAGGAAACAGATCCTACAGGTCTCCTGGTCCCACTTGCTCATTTTACAGATAAGGAAACTGAGGCCCAGAGAGGGGAAGGGATTTGGTCGAGGTCAATCAATCAGTAAATATTAAGTGTTGGGGCTATAAAAAGAGGTCACACAGGTAGGGGCGGGGAGAGGACAGGGCCCTATTCAAGGCCACACAGATAGCAAGTGATGGAGCTGGGATTCTAATTCACATCTTCAGACCCCTCACTGGAGCCCTCTCTATTATATGTTGGTGCCTACTCACAATATCTTTTAAGTCCAGCCTTTTTCTGTTACAGAGGGGGGAAACTGTGGCCCAGAGTAGGGAAGGGGCTTGGCTGAAGTCCCACTGAAGGTATGACTCCCTTGGATGAAGGCACCTGACTGAAGGCGCTCTGTCCAGCTCTGCAGCCCCACGCACACACAGCTATTTACAGCATTAGTAATAATAACAATAGCTACCGTTCATGCAGCGTTTCAAGGTTTGCAAAGCGTTATGAACGTGATCTCTCTCGCTCCTCACAACCACCCTGGGAGGCAGGGCTGTCACTCCACGCACTTTACAGATGAAGAGAGTGAGGTGGGCAGACGCCGGATCTGAGTCCACTGATTGGAGAAGGGCTGGATAAACTGTGCATGCATGCGTGCAATGGAATATTATTGCTCCATCAGACATGACGAGTATGGGGCTATCGAAGGAGCTTAGGAAGATGGGTGAAATGATGCAGACAAAAAAGCAGAAGCAAGAAAAGCTACATGGTGACCATGGTAACCAAGGATGTGAAGAAAAACAGCCTGGAAAGACAGCAGAGCTCTGCCCAGGCCAACAGTCCCTCTGGCCTCTGGAAGACTAAGGGGTGAAACATGCCCCTTCTCTTTGGGAAAGGGAGGTGGTGGGCCCCGGGGGCCAACTGCTACTATCAGGCAGGGCCAATGTGCTGGTTTGTTTTGGCCTCCTCTGGTTTTTGGAGAGGAACTGGGCTATAGGGAGGGGTGTGGGGGAAGGCCTCAGGAAGTGACATCAATATGTGTATGTGTGTGTGTGTGTGATCAAGACACTAAGGATGAGTTTACTCTCACTTTCACCTCCAGCCAGAGTTCCAGAGCAGAGCAAGGCGGTGAGAGCGACATCAAGGCCAGGCAAGATTTTACACGTGGCTACATGAGCAGCTCCCTGGCCTGGGTTTGTGGGTTTCGCCCAGAGAACACACGGGTCTGCCTTTCTATGTGAGTTCCCTCCCTTTGGCTGGGAGCAAAGCAATTAGACACCCTGGGCTGAGGTTTCCCTTCCAGAGACAGAAGAGGCCGGGAAACTGGGAGCCCCACAGGCAGGGCACTCCAGGGCCATTCTCCCCCCCCCCACACACACACACATGTACACACGTCACGCCTGGCACTCCCTCAGGAGCCCAAGAGGAGCAAAGGGAAAGATCCTAGAAGGCTGAGGTGGCCACCCAGGTGAGGACAGAGAGGCTGGCAGCTAGCTACCAATCAATCAGCATTTATTAAGTGCCTACTGTTGCTTTGGAACTCACATGGAAAGGAAGACCGGTGTGTTCTCTGGGAGAAAGCCCCAAACACAGGGGGGAGCCACCCATGCACCCCCATGTAAAAGCTAGCTCCTGTTGGGCATGAGAGTGAGGCGTTTTGGAGGATTTGTCTCTGGAACATGGAGTAATATAAAGGAGGGCTGAGGGAGAGGCTTCCTTTTTCCAATGGGGCACCACCACCCTTGCCCCTTCTGGTTGTCAGACTTTTCTCCATCTCCCTGTCTGAGGACTCTCCGAGGAATTCGGAAAAGGCGGTGGACCAACGAGCCCGAGGTCTAAATCCAGCTCCTGCCACCTGTCTGAGCTGTGCCCGGCACATAGTAAGTGCTTTCTAAACACTTGCTGACTGACTGGATGGCCTTGGGAAAGCCATTTAACCTCAGTGGCCCTCAGTTTCCTGATCTGTAAAAGGAGGACGACGGTAGATAAGATAGCTTCTAAATTCCTTTCTAGACCTTGGATAAGATTTCCCCACTATGAGGTTTCAGCTCTCTTCTCAAAGGGATGTTCTCAAATATCCCTCAAATTTTCAAAGAATAACCATTCCTCCATCACTGGGGCTTCTGAGGCTGTGAAACACTTCATGTGTATTATGTCATCTGATCCTCACAAAATCCTGGGACCCAAGTGCTCTGTTTTTTATCTCCATTTTCCAGATAGGGAAACTGAGGCTCAGAAAGGGCCAATGGCGTGCTCAGGGTCACAAAGCTCCTAAGTATATGAGGTAAGATTCAAAACAAGCTCTTCCTGTTATACCCCCCCCCCCAATGCATAACATCAGTTATGCAGCCCTTTAAGGTTTACAAAGCCTTTGATCAGAACAACAACCTGGAGGTAGGTGCTATTATTATTCCCATTTTACAGATGAGGAATGACCCGCCCACACTCAGGTTTTCCCGCCTCCAAGTCCCACATCACCACCGTACACTGACAAGAATACCGGATTTAAGTCAGATGACCTGGGTTCAAATCTCACCTCCGCCACTTACTATCATCAGTGGGACATTGAGCAAGTCCTTTCGCCTCTTGAGGCCTTGGTCTCCTCATCTAGAAGAGGAAGGGCTGGACTAGATGTCTCTGAGGTTCTGTCCCACTCTAGAACCATGACTTTAGGATTCTTTCCTGTGTTGGGATTTTGACCAATAGATCATGGCATCCTTTTCCAAGAGCCTCCTGTGAGAACTGGATTTGAGTCGGAGGAAAGAGCACTGACTCCTCGTCAAAGGACCTGGGTTCAAATCCAACCTCCCAATACTTGATCTTAGGTAAGTAGTTTAACCTTTCAGGCCCTCAGTTTCCTCATTTTTCAAAATAACATTTTATTGATGTATTTTATTTCTTACATAATCATAGTTATCCCCAGGATCCTTCCCCACCCCACCCCCAAGAGAACCAGCTTATTTAAATAACAAACAACTATTTTTTAAAGAGGAAAAAAAATGGGCACAACTGTTCAGTGCATTGGAAAAGTCTGAAAACCTGTGCAACATGCAGCATCCTCAGAGCTCCCACCTTCACAGAGGAGGGGTTTGGAGTCCTCTGCTCTCTCCTACTTCAGTCCTGCTCCAGCGTCAGCACTTTACCACACTCACGGTGGAGTTTGGGTGGTTCTTTCCCTTTTCGTTGTAGTTACTGTGTGTTTTCTTGGCTCTGCGGACTTCACTGTGCATCGGTTCCATATTTCTCGGTATTTATCACGTACATAATTTCTCACAGAACAATGTTCTGTTACTTTCATGTACCACAATTTGTTTAGCCCTTCCTCAATCAATGGGCATCTGCTTTGTTTCCAACTCTTTGTGATCACAAAAAGGGCTGTGATAACTGTTTTGGGATGGGGATATTGATGGCTTCCTTAGGGGATGAGCCCAGTAAATGGAGTCCCTGGTTCAAAAAGCATGGCCATTTCATTTACTTGCAAAATTCCAAATTGCTATCCAAAATGGATTACCATTTCACAGCTCCAGCAACGTATCAGTGTTATGTGTCATCCCACACCCCACCTCCAGCTGACTATTACCATCTTTTTATCGTCTTTGCCAATTTGCAGGGTGTGATCGGTTTCCTCTTATGTCAGATGTGGGGATCGAATAGAGTCTGGCAGCTCTAAATCCTGAATGGGCACTGGCTGCTTCCCCTCTCCTGCATCCATGCACCCTTCTAGATCCTCTAAGCTCAGCACCTCGGGGGACGGGGTCTGTGGGCTGAGCACCAGCCGCAGCTCAAGGCCGCGCTTTCGGCGGGGTACAGGGAGGGCCGGGGTCCAGCATCTGACCTGGAGTTTCCGATGGACCCCCGCCTCCTCCCTGGAGCAGAGCGGGGTGGAAGTGGGGGGAAGGGGCTAGATCCGGGAATGGGGGAGGGGATGCGGTTTGGTGACTCAGGCCGCCCAGAGGCAGGGCGGGGACGAAGAGAACGAACTCCAGATGTGCTTCCCTTCCCCCACATCTGGCCAGGGAACGACCCAGCGTTTAGCTCCGGCCGCTCCTATCCCTACCCCGAGGGCCGCCCCTGCCCCCCCCAATCCCAGACCATTCCCTCCCTCTCAGAGAGCGCCCCAGCCCCTCCTGTCCCGTCCAGCTCCCCTCCCCTTCTCCCCTAAACCGCCGGGGCTGCAGGATGTTGGGGTGAGTCACGCTTCCTGAGCCCGCCCTGGGAGGCCCAGCCCGGGGACCGGCAGCCCCCCGCCTCACCCCGCTCCTGCCACCTCCCAGTGCGTCCAGCCCCCGGCCTCGGTACAGCCGGCCTGTCCGGGCACTGCCCTAGGCGCCGGTGGTGGGCGTGGGGCAGGGTTCAAGACAACCGCCTCCAGCTGCTAGTGCCTTCCTTATTGAAGTCCGTCCTGGTGGCGCACAGTGGGTGCTTAATAAATGCGTGTTAACTGAAAAACCTGCCCTTCGGCTTCCAGCCTTCTAGCGAGGTGCTCCTCCCCCCCACCCCCACTCCAAGGCCTTGTCCTGCAGCTCAGTTCTGAGCAAAGAAAGCGCTGGAGCCTCCCAATTACAGCAACAGAGTACCCAGGACGCCCCCCCCCCCCCCCGGTCAACGGGCATTTATGCAGCGCCTACACCTTGTCCCCCATTGTGGCTGCATTTATGTGGCACCCACATGTTGTGTCCCAACAGCTGGCTTGCTACAAGCTCTTACAGGGCAAGGCCCCAACGTGCCCTTTCTTCCCCAGCACTTAGAACAGATCCAGGGCGTAACAAAGCCTTATTGATTAAATTGCCATGGAAATGGGAATTATTCACAATGTTAGAAGCTCCTTCATAAGGCTTCTAAAACAAGGCCAGGTTAAGGGCCTTTATCATTTAAAGTCAATCCCACAGCACAGATCAGAGCCTGAGACTGTCCAGAGAACAATTCAGATCCAGCCTCAGAAACCTCGGGCCCCTCCGAGACTAGAAGGTATGCAACGGGCCTGCATTAGTCAGATGAACTCAGGACCTGCTTAGATGCAGCTGGAGCAGCTCAGGGGAGGGAGAAATCAGGAAAGGCTTTCAGCACTTGGACCAGACCTTCAAAGAAGCGGGGGAATTGAAGGGATGAGGTGAGGACACCCCTGCCAGACTCAGGCTGAGGTCTACAAGAACAGCCCTCCAGGGTCTGCAAAGCACTGCGATGTCATTTGGGGGAGATGGGGGCCTTTTCCTGGGGAGAAAATGGAACCTTGAATTCTCCCATACCAACCCTCCAAGCCCACATGAGGTAGCCTAGAGGGGAGTGGGGGTATGGTAAGAATTATCAAGGCTGCAGGTTCAGGAGGTCCAGCTCCATCTATCTGCAGGGTCAGGGCACGCCCTCAGCCTATAACCTGGCCCCTCTGCTGCTGGGGGCACAGCAGCCTAGCCAGAAGCTGGAAGAGGCCACACATCTGGGCTGGCAGAGCAGGTGTGGAGCCAAGCAGTAAGGTCAGAAACGGGCACCCTCAAAACCACCACTCAAGCTAGAATGGCATCATGCCAGGGAGGATCCACGGTGGAAGAATTATCACAGATTCCTGGGAGAGGAGGGCCTGAGGCCCCTCCCTCTTTCCATGGGACACCCACAGGCCAAGGAGAAGGTTAGGGGCTGAGTCAGGAAGAGATGACCAAAGGATCTGACAGCAGGTCCGATCCTCTTGGCCAGGGTGTGTCATTTATCTAGAGCTGGAAGGGACTCCAGAGGCCACCCAGACAAGCTCCCAGATTACAGATAAGCAAGCTGAGGCCTAGGGTGGTCAAGTGACTCGGCCACAGTCACACATTAATGGCTAGAGGTGGCATCTGAATCCTTTCTGCATCGGGCACAGCCCCTAACGCAGACGCTGCAGCAGACAATCCCTGGTCTGTGTCAGCCTCAGTGGGCAGATGTGAGCATATTGTGTTCAATCCCCAGAGTCAATTCAAAACAAGAAAAGCCCCTTGGTGTGTATGCTGCCCACATTCAGCCACTAGCTTTTTGTTAAACACCATCCTAAAGAAGGAGGGGGGAGGGAGGAGAGATGGAGAGAGGCAGACACCACACACGCTGCGGGGGAACGGCAGCAGAGGCCTCGCTTCCCCCAATAACGTGGGACGCTCACGCAGGGTTTCTGTGTTCAGTTTCATTTAATGACTGGCACCTCGCTGCAGAGGAAGCAGGCAGCGAGGTGGTAGCAGGGAGCATGTTCACTTGAAGATCTTGCCCTGATTGAAGGGTTTGCCCATGTGCTGGAAGGCCCCCTCCCAGGAGAAGTACTCTCGGACCATGGTCTGGGCCTCCTCACTGCCAGGATCCAGCTTACGCCATGTGTAGGACTCATAATCCACCTGCCAGTCTGGACTCAGCTGTAAAGAAAACAAGCAGTGAGTGACCGGGGCAGCAGCAGCCCATGGCCCTCACCAGCCTTAACTCTATCACACTGCCCACAGGCAGGGACAGGAAATCCCGCCTCTCATATTCTACCATCACCCCAAGGCCAGGGCCGAGAGAGAGCCCCAGCTCACCGGGAAGGCAAGCTCCTGGCCCCGGAAAACCCAGACTCCAGAAATGGCGCTACTGTTGTTGGTGCCAAAAAGGATGACGCTGGCGAAGGCGTTCTTCCTCAGCTTGTCCAGGCGCTGGAACATTCCTGGGGGGAGAGAAGCGTCAGCCTCCACGCTCGGTGCCACCCGTCCCTGCCCCGCCGGCCCCTCTGCCCACCTACCGGTGATGAGGTTGCAGCTCATGAAGGTCTGGCTCAGCTCCTGGGGGAAGCGGTACTCGGCATACCACAGGGACCAGCCGTCACGGTCGAAGTGCTCCCAGAAGTACGGCAGGGCCACCGTCAGCGTGTCCTCGTTGGAGTACTTCCGCTTAAACTCATCCAGCACAAAGGTGCTGCGGGGAGGCAGAGAACAAGGGCCCGTGAGGACGGCGGCCAGGCCGCGGGGCAGGGGCCGGGCGCGAGGTCCCGGCCGTTCTGCTTAACCTCTGCACTGCAAAGCCTGCAAAGAGCCTCTGTGACACTAAAGCACAGAAGTTTTCCCAGCTCAAAATGCAGGGCCACAGCGGAGGGCAGCGACTGAGTGGAGCCCGGCGGGCTGGCCAGCAGGGTAGAGGGGAACACTCCCAGCACCCCATTTCTCCTACTTCGCTTCCCTCCCCACCAGCTATGATCGGCATGTGGAGGGCGTGGGACCCAAGGGAATGAGGGCTCCGGCAGCGGGTCGCTGCTGCCCCCTGGCGTCCACTCCTGCTCCACCAGCAGACTGGCTCCCTGCCCCTGCCCTTCCTGGACACGGAGGCACATCTGCTGGATGACCGGAGCCCGAGGACACAGAAGGAACCTGGCCCACCGTGGTTTCCCTCAGCCTACCCATCAAAGCCCAGGCAGCTGCTGGAGATGGGGGTCACCCACATCTCCCACCCTCCCCAGGGAGTTATCCACACAGGTACGCTCTTTCACGGCCCGAGGGCACTTTCCTCTAGCAAAGCAGCAACAAAGTGAACCTTCTGCAGCACCACCAGGGGGTGCAGTGGAGAGCGCTGGGCTGAGGGGGGTCCACCCCCCTCCCACCCAGCCCAGTCCAACCTCCACACTGCTGCCACTACCTGGTGATGGACCGATCCCCGTCTCTCCTCTACTCCCTACTGGCCCCAGGATGAACGAGGACCACTCCAGGGAGCTTTCAAGCCCTTTGCCACTCTGTAATCACCAGGAGGGGCTAAAGGACCCAGGCGAAGCCCATAGGAGGACCCACTCAGATCTACAAAGCCCCATCCTCACTAATGCTGCGCAAAGCTCCACTAAAGCTCAACTACTACCCCATTTTACAAATGGGGAAACTCCGAGCTGAGGCTCCTGACCCAAGTCCGGCCAACATCTCAATGATCTCAATGATCCCAGCTACACCACCAACCATCCCCAGCCACTACATACAGGTCCCAGACCCTGGGAACCCAAACTCATCCCAGGGCACATGCACGGTAGGGCAGTCTGTTACAGCGGTCTGGAGAGGGCGAGAGTGACTGACCAAGGGAATCCGAGCCAGAGCCAGGAAACACCTCCCACAAGGACAACCACAGCCCCACTGAGGAGAGTCAGCGCAAGATCACAAGTGACGGGACCACGGCTGGCTGGGGAGGAGCCCAGGAGGCTCTTTTTCTTTTTGTCTGATGAAAAACACCATTTGTTATATGGAATGGCTCTTTGTGAAAAGACTGGCTGATTGAGTGGGAGAAGGAAAGGGTACTGGGGGAAAGCAGGGTCATGTAAAGAGATGATAAAAACCTATTAAGGAAAAAAGAAACAGTCCTGTGTGTGAGCCACATGAGTCTCTCACTTCAAAGGGACACTCCAGGGAAGGAGAAGATGAAGGGCTCAGCAAAGCCTCCTCTGGGAGCGCTGTGCACTCGAAATACAAGCTCTTCTAACACGGCATGTCGGGCCACCTCCTGGATAAAGGGGAAGCCCAGGGCACTTCAGAGCAAAAGCCAATCCCGCTGTGACAAGAGATTCTTCTCGGTGCCCACAGAGGTCCCTGACTCTTCCAAGGATCTCTACTGGGGGCCCAAGAACATGGATGGAAAAAGATCACACCCTCATTTTCACTATTTCCTTCAGTTCTTTAAAAACATCATCCCAAGGTGTCCGGAACACACCAAAGGTGAACAACTCCTGGTCTCCCCAGTGTCTCCCTTTGCAAGATGCGAGGCCTGATGCCCAAATCCACAGCTGTCCCTATGACAAGGCTGGGCTTCCTCTCTCCCATCACAGAGCCACAAAATGCCCCTGTGGGAGCACAGCCCAGCAGCATGTGCGCTGCACGCACAACCCCAGATCAGGACCAGGAAGCCAGCTGAGACATTCGAGCTTAATGATCAGGACAGCGAGGGGCTGTCCAATTGGCCCCAACTCCAGGCCCCCAGCTGCCTCTAAAGAATTGGGCCCAGGGACAGCTAGGTGGTGCAGTGGATAGAGCACTGGCCCTGAAGTCAGGAGGACCCGAGTTCAAATCTGGCCTCAGACCAAACACTTGACACTTACTAGCTGAGTAACCCCAGTGGCCTAAAAAAAAAAAAAAACAAAAAAACCTAAAGAATTGGGCCCAACAGGCGCTGGAAAACCACCTCTGGGGTTGAGAGGGAAGTCAGCATAACCAGTGGTACCCAGAGGCTTCGGGGAATGCTGGGATCCATCCCACTGCTGGCTGGCCAACCGTCTCCTAAGGATCAGTTAGCTGCCCCCTTCCTTGCTGCACCTGGCCTCCGGGTGAGATCCTCATAGCCACACTGGACAGAAACAATAACTGGTTTTCACAGGTGACACTGACACCCAAGACAGCATGCCGAAGGATGGCCCTGTCTCTCCAAATCTCTGGACCAGGAGCCCTCACGGGCTGCCACCTCCCTTCTGGCCTGGACCCTCCTCTTCCCCACGGGTTCAA